AGTATCTTAAAATGCTCTCATCTCCTTAGAAATATTTATAGCAGAAAAGCAAACAGTATCCAGGACGGAAAGATACAAAGACCATCAAGTTCCGGCATTGGGCATGCAGAAACTCATGCAGCATTGCCTTGAACAACACAATCTCTTTCAAGGACAGGTCTGAATTAAGTCTACCTCTATTTCCAAATAGATTAATCTGGCTAACCTGTTTGTCTCATAATGTAAAAAATTGTGTACTATGTCCCAGAAATGGTTTTAATAACCTCTTATTGCTGCAATAAACTCCTGCTTAGTACATGTCCCTGTAGCTGCTTCTGATGCCCTGTGAAAGCTGTAGAATTGCGTAGAATCTGTTTTCTGTTCCTGCATCCTTCAGTACATTAAGGCTATGGGCCTAATTCCTCGCTTTTTGTTCTTTGCTCCCAACAGCTTTGAGTTTTGGGTATTTCATCAGGTTTTCTTAGGACTGAGTTGCTCAAATCTATTCTGAATTGCATTGCTGTTGCTTTCTAATGTTTCCACGTAGGATGCTTTAAGCAACGTGAAAACAGCTGAGCCCTCCGTATGTCTGTTTCATTGTCTAGATCTACCCAAAACGGCATTTGTTACCTATGGATAGGTTGTAATAGAGGTGATAAGGCAGCACCCAAACTACATCCTAGTTAAAACCCACCAAGCCGGTTTTCTAGTTGCTAGCCCACGGCAAAATCTATGCTGTCGCATTTTTCACTTAACCACAGCTAGATCTAGTAATGTCTCAGCCATCACCTCCTCCCCTCGTGTTGTAGGTGTATCCCCCGTAAATGGCCAAGAAGTCTCAGTGTAAAGACAATGACTTGGTCCCGATTTCCAAGTTTTGTGATACCTTCTCCTCAATGCTCCTTTCCAGGCGAGACTGCAGCAGTGGATGATGACAAAGCATCACGTTCTGTTGTTTTTGAGATCCTTCAGAATGTTCTTAGGGGACAAGCTACTGCTGAGCAAACAGGGAACAGAGCAGAAAACGCTTCAGTGTACTGCGGCAAAACCAAAGTATTTATGGCTAATTCTGTGGTAAGAGTGCTATTTCCTTGGCTATCAGAGCGTATGTGCGTAATGGGGATTCTGGCACAGATTATCATCATGGTTTAGACAATACGCCTGCTAATGCCAGTGCGCCCAGAATTTGGCATTTTCCTTCAAATTGTTAAACCAAATCAAATATCCATCGGAATCCAACTATCAGAAGCACTTTGTTTAACGGTGTTCTTGTTGACGGACAAGGAGCTGCGCTCATTTCTAGTGTCCTCAGTATCCTCCCAGGTCCAGTAACGCTTACAGCTTTCCTGAGCTTCAGCTGACAGACTTGGCTACTCCGACAGACCTAAGTAGCTGCTTCTCCTTGTCAGACTTGGCTACTCCGACAGACCTAAGCAGCTGCTTTGTGACAGAGATGAAGGAGACGAAGACGCTTTTGCAAAGTTTGCATACTGGAAGATGCAAGACAAAAAACCCAACCAACCTTCAGTGGAGCTAGTTTTAAGCCCACTGCTACTGTGACTTCAGGAGTGTCCACTTTTCCCCCCACAAAACCCTTTTCCCCCTCAGATAACGTGTCAAATAAAAATGTAGGTATCTAATAAGCACTAATGAAGTGCTCTCACTTCTAAAACCTAATCCGTCAGTCTTCGGACCCTGTAGTGTGCATGTGGTTTTCTGACAAACACCAAAAGACTGTAGAAGAGGGGAGAGCTGTGAACACAACTCTGTCCTCGAGCGTTAACTGCAGGCTCCTGTCCCCATTGCAGCTGGAGCAACTTGAAGCTAGAAGAGCAGAGGTGTTAAATGAGAAAGCATTTTGCATCCAGTGTTGTTGGAGAAGATACAAACAGAAGAAACTAGCGAAGGAGAGATGGTCTGCAACTGTCATCCAAGCAGGTAATTTGATAAAGGTGTGGGTGAATAAAGTGTAACAAGTAACATTTCCAGTTACACTGGATGTTTAAGGTGGCAGGAGTGGTTATGTTAATTGAGTGTGGAGAAAGCTTAAGTGCCATCTCTCTTACACTGTGTGCAAGAGCTTCTGAGATTCTGTGTACTCAGATTTCTTTTCATTAAATCTTCAGCTGCTCGCTCCTGGTTAGCCAAGAATCGCTTCCAAAGGATGCGCAAGGCTGCTAATGTTATTAAGCATGGCTGGAGGAAATGGAAAGTAAGTATGTTGGTACACGGACGCATTGAAATGGAGCGACTGCGGCTTTTTTGTGTTTGGGAAAGAATCTACCTCTGTCAAGTAACTGTACAAAACCAATACCATCAGTTCTCCAGAAAACTCTTCTCAAGCTGAAGAGAAGATGGATGCCAGGCTTGTACAGCTCCTACAGGGTGGCAGCGTAGAGACTGCAGAATGAACTCGTTCCTTACCTTCATAGAACGGGAAAGCATCCCAAAGGGTGCCCTGTCTTTTAAGATGCCCTTTCTTAGACTGTTAGTTTTGCGATTTTAAATTTTGTTCAAGACGTTTGAGAATCTTGTTCAAGAATATCGTTCTGCTTCTCTTCATCAGGCAAAAATGGCTGCTTTAGCAGCGGCAGAACTGGATGAGGGTGAAGCAAAGGTGTTCTCAGGTCCTGGAGCTACGATGATCTCGGCCAAATTACCTTGCTCTTTGGAAACAACTTGGCCCCTGCATGCAATAATTCAGTTCTGGCCTCTTGGCCTTGTCCTGGCTGCTGCACCTGTTACTGTAATGGGACTTCGGAGAGACCTGTCGCTGCTGGCATGCCTCAAAGTGCTTCAGGAGAGCGACTGCTACAAGGTGGAAAGCTGTTTCTTTGGCTGTGGCATCACTTCCATTAGAGCTCTCCCACAGGTAATGTACCTCACGCACTCGAGTCATCAGTACAATTAAGCTGTCCTGAGTTCAGGAACCTGAACTCTGCTATCGAGCAGAGCAACTACGAAGTCTGCTCTCAGGGTACAGTCTTCCTTTTTCCACTGGCTAAGACGTGCCAGGTGACTACTGGTGGCTCTGACATCAATAGCTCAAGCTAGACACAGGGCTGAGTTGAGACTTCAACTAAGCATGAAAACTCTTGTTAATCGCTGTCAGAGGAACAAACTGATCAAAGCTCTGCTTCAAAACTGGAGAGCAGAGCATTCCCACGTGGGCTCTGCTATTACGGATTACGTCTTTTTCCTGCTTAGGGGAGTCAGGTTGCACAACAGGTGAACAAATGAAAAAGCATCCACTTGGGGAAAAGCCACTGGGTGTATTAACAATATCTCAGTAATTCTGCATTAACTTGGCTGTGCAGACAACTGCACAGACTAATTCCGACAGAGGATTTCCAGGGTGGAAAGCGGCGAGCAACCCTCCAGTACTTCATCTCCTAACACACATGCAGAATAATCTTAGATACCATTTACTGCAAACAAGCCACAACCCACACTGGCTTCCCTCAGAAGTTGCACTCCGGCTACCAATCCCCTGGGCCTGTTCTTGGGTTCCTTGTTGATAAATTTTTGAGGTTGCATAAAATTATGCTTGCAAGAATGCAGCCTGTGCCTGGTCAGTTATTAGAAGTAGGAAGAAGCAGTACCAAGTTCAGTACTGACTAAATAATCAGATCTTCAGAGTTTAAGCTAATTTCAGTTCAAATTAGGATACTGGTACTCTTTGTAGCAACCACTTCTCTTAAATCCATTTGTACTAGGACTTCTTTGGAGGTCTTCCTCTAGCCTTATTGATATTCATTAGCACTACTTAGTTTGAATAGCAAAATTAGCTCAAAATCTGGCAAAACATCAACTGACCCCTCCCCCTCTTTTTCTTCTAGGGCTCGATCAAGTTTCACTGTAAGAAGTCTCCCCTGCATTATGCAAACGTCAGCCCCCACACGGATGCCTATTCCATCACTGGATTTAACCAGATTTTATTGGACAGAAAAAACCTCCTTCCAACATAGGTTTTGGCGATCTGCATATACTGTACTTTTTCCTTCAGGGAAGGACCGTCTGCAAGCTGCTGCTTTCAAATTACTCAGCGTCCGTATCTGCTGTTACCTCAGAGCTTTCTATATTGATGCATTGTACGTACAATATAATATAATATACATCAAATTTAGAATGCATGGGGGGGCATTCCTCCTCTCACACACATGCACATATATTAGAAGAAGTATCAGTACTATGAGAACACTCAACATAATTAAAATAGATCAAGTGCTTTAAGCACTATATACTTGAACTGAACAATTCCAGCACTACCTGGGAGAAGCAAGAGGCTGGTACTGAGAGTGCAAATAAGGCAAAAATTTCTGATGTGTGCTGGAGTCTCATTCGGAGGCACAACACCGGTGTTCAGCAACACCGCACCACTTCTGACCGTGACCAAGGAAGCAAACCGCAGTCGGCTGTAACACTAAAGGCAGATGTCTCAGGGAAAAGCGAGACTGGACTCTTGCTTTTTATCTATAGGACCAAAACATGTACTCACAACTGCCCTGCATTCCTAGCACTACCTAATCGATTGCATTACCTCTGCCAGGGGCCAGGGTTCTCATCAGAGCGCTCTGTACCATCTCGCCATTGAAAATGTTCAGCTCTTCCATGTTTTAAATAAACTGTTAAATCTCTCGTAAAGGTGTCTGATATTTCGCAATAAGGTTTAGTTAACGAAAACATTTCAGATTAGTTTGTGGGTTAAAATAAACACAAATATATTTAATATTGTTATTGGGAAGCAACATTTCCCATGGTTGACAGTATTTCTGTACCAACAGAGAGCAAGTCCACAGAACATCAGGTTTCATTCCTACTATCTACCAATCTGTCCAATACTTTGTCACTGTTTGTCAACTCCAAATTGAAAATTAGAGCACTGACATTCATGAGCAAAGCGTGACCAAACCTTGAGGAAACACACAGAATGGTGCACCCCAGCAGCACGGGGTGCTGTCGAATCTCTTCTGTCAGAGGGAAAAAAAATCTCAAGGAAAGAAAAACGTTCCCAAAGTAGCTCACTCAGGAAGAATGTTCTCCTTCTCTGGAGGTTCAACAATTCTCAAACAGCAGTCTGCAAACTCAACAAATAATGGCTCCTGCATGTACTTCTTCATGAGGGAGTTTTTATCTTCTGCTTGATCGACTGTCAGCAGTAGCTGCCTGAGGTGCGGGTTCAGAAGCAAGTCTCTCAGTTCTTCTGATTCCCCTTTGAAAAAGAAAAAAAGAAAAAGAGAAACAGTAGTAATCTCAAACAGTTACAAACGTGGTTGAGACCACCCTTATTTTACAAATAAACTTTCAAAGAGACACGGTGAAAGGCCGGGTTTCTGGCACTTAAATTTTTCAGGCCTTGCAACGAAACACAGGACTGGGATAGACTGCAGCGCTCCGTGAAGAATTCAGGGGAATTGCGAGTGTCTCCGCTCACTTGGCCGAAGGCCCTCCACCCCCCGCGCACCCAACCCGCTCCAGACTTCTCAGCCTTACCTAAAAGCTGCAGTTTCTGCAGCGGGACGCGGTCCTGCTCCTCCCCGTCCGCCAGGATGTCCTCCACCGACCAGGGGCCGCCTGCGGGCGCGGACAGCAGCGCTGCAGCGGGACCGGGGGCTCCGCGCCGCCCAGCCCG